TCAACCCTAAACCCTAAACGCTTAAGAAACCTCCATCTTGCAATTAAGTCACTGGATCAGATACTGCATGTTCTGCGTGGTGGAGCACGCCTTAAGCTCCGATTGCGGTTGCTGGAAGGGGTTGCTTGGGAATTAGGGTTCAGGGTCTCGGGCTATGGGATTTTGAGTCTGGGGTTTTGGGGTTCGGGTCTCAGGGCTTGTAGGTCTTCGAGGTTTTTGTCTTACGGTTTGGGGCGGGGAGTTTCTTAAACCCTAAACCCTAGACCGTTGGGCTTAGGGCTTAGGGTAAGCCTTGGGATGGCTTTAGCTTCGGAATTAGAACAGTGACGATAAGAATATCACCTTGCAGACTATTCATTTGTCCAGTTTGCTAGAATAGCTGTAAGTTAACCTGTCAGATTCTACAGGGATAATATTACTCCAAAAACGTTCAAGATTACTTGCTCTACTACAAAGATTCTCATGTAAATGCACTACTGGGCTGCTACTGGCGCCTTGTACGCCGTGGTTGGGAACCTGATTAAGAAACCCCGGCNNNNTTAAGAACCCTGATAAAGACCCAGGGTTTCTGAATCAGGTTCCTCTATTACTTGTTACATACTGGGTTTTGATAGGGAATGCAGGACAAAGCCTCATATGGGTAGTTCTGTAAATTAGGTCCCCAATATAGTACGGCACCCTTATAAGAAGGACCCCCTAAACAGGGACCCTAATTCAGAGAACTACCCACATAGACCCCAAGGGTGCTCTCAAGCCGGGCGGCTGCCTGCTGGATCTTCAAGGGCACCTGCTCCGGGTCCAAGAAACCCTGAAAGGCAAACAAAAACCTTGGGGTTGAGGGTTTAGGGTTTAGGGTTTAGGGTTTAGGGTTTAGCGTTTTTGCACCAAGCAACGCATTGTGAATGCAGTTCGGCAACCTTTCAAAACCACATAAATAGAACAGAACCTGTTTCACACCTGCCTGGGCTCCAGGATGCAGGAATTTACGGACCAGGACGGCAGGATAGCAGCCCCCTAAACCCTAAACCCTAAGCCCTAAACCCTAAACCCTAAACCGTGCTGTAGCAGCCTGAATAATTAGAGGAGGCTCGTGAGCTCCTTGAGCTCCTTGATAGTAGAATCTTAAAAGGGAACCCTAAGGTTTAAGGTTTAGGGTTTAGGGTTTAGGGTTTAGGGTTTAGGGTTTAGGGTTTACCCTAAGGAACCACATTGGTAATTAGTTTGGCTTCTATATTACCGAAGGTTCCCTTATGCCCGCAAGCCCCAGACATTGCATCGGAAGCTTCGGGCCCTAAATCCGGAACCACCGGCGCTAGGGGTTTAGGGTTTAGGGTTTAGGGTTTAGGGTTTAGGGTTTAGGGTTTAGGGTTTAGGGTTTAGGGCAAGCCCTGATGGAGGCGCCTTGATGCTTAGAATGCTCTTCGATCCTCTACTTTAAACATCTAGGTAGTATCATTAGGGGTACCCCTTAAAGGGTACCCCTTCGGAACCCTACTTTTGGCTTCCTTAAAAGGGACCTTATTGAATGGGTCTATATCCCCAAGGGTCCCCCTAATCCTAGCTCCCAACATCAACCCCAAAGCCCTACTGTATTGTCATCATCAGACCTCCACTCTGCACGCCAAACCGAAGAACCCTTGACCCCAAAAAAAGATGTCCCACCTGGGTTCTGGTGAGGTTCTTGGCCTGCAGAAAACGCCTCAAAGGCCGGAGGCTGGGTAGTGAGGCTCGAACCATGCTTTGGATGCGCCAGGAGCCAGGGGACCCTAAACCCCTCATTCGATGGTGTTTCCGGCAGCGGTCAAGGCATGTGTTGCAATCGAAACGTTCCGAGTGCATGGAGGATGTATCCAGTGCAGAACATTCTTGAACGACGAGGGAAAAGTCTTGCATCAATATAGCGGATTGAATAAGTAGAGTAGGGTTTGAGTAGGGTTTGGGGTCAAGTGTAGTATTTCGAACCAGCTGTTCGTAAGTGCAGATGTTTTTCGGTTTGGCTTTGCGCGGTCTGGCTGTGCTTCACTGTTGTTATTGATGTCGGCGCCAGGCTGTACGTTCACAGCCAGTGCAGTTTGCAGCAATCGGACATACAGAAGTGCTGTGCTCTCTGTGGGCAGTTGCAGAACTCGCAAGTGCAGAGGCCATGAGGTTTTACGTTTGCTGCCTTCGGGTGCACAGGAACACTGAATCTTCAGCATATGCAATCTGCAAAAGAACAGAGGCACCGCCATCGATGATGCTGCACATCTGTAGACCACGGCGAAAGCCGCGAATGCTGAAGACTAACAATACTTCTGCTCTTCCGAAAGACGCACATGCCGTCGAGCACCACCGATCCATTCATCTCAACGGCCCTGCTCATGCGGCAAAGAAAGCTCTAAATACTTCGCATCCTCTCGAGCCCTAAACCACGCACTGAAGCGCGTTGCTATAGCAGAAATCTATGAGGAGTAGGAGGGCATCTTACAAAGGAAGATCTCAGCAAGTTGAGTAGCTGTATCCAGCGCGCGCAGAGGGCGTCTGCGAGGTCAGGATCGTCAACGAAGCTCCAGATCCCAATGCAGCGGGTGAGGTCGCGTTGAATCACCTGAGGCAAGGGTTCAGGCTTCAGGGTTTACTGTCTGGTGCTTAGTAGGGAATGGGGGAATGGGTTATAGGGACTACTATAAGGGACCTTAAGGGACTATCATAGGGATCCGTTCCCCCATTCCCTACTAAGCACCAGACAGTCTAGGGATGCTGAAGGTTTGGGGTTCTTTGGAGGCCTGCGTGCACCAAGCTATCGACGAGAACTTGAACATGATTCTCACAAGCCCTAAACCCTAAACCCTAAACCCTAAACCCTAAACCCTAAACCCTAAACCCTAAACCTTAAACCGTGGCTCAAGCCATCAGCTTCGAATACCTTGCCAAAGCTACAGACCAACACTGCCTGAGAAGCGTGGCAACCCCCTGATGCCCCGAAAAAGGGGCCCTCCCAGGGTTCCCCTGCGCTTCCATGCCCCCTGAACGATGTGAGTCCCATGCTGCAGATATTACCATAATGTAGGGGACTTAATTGTTAGAGTAGGGTTTTAGTGCATATTATACCATTCTTATAATAAGGAACTCCCAACACCCTAGTCTAACTATTGGGGTATATTATACCCTTCTTACAATAAGGAACCCCCAAAACCCGAGTCTAATTATTAAGGCCCCCCCCCTAACCCTAAACCCTAAACCCCAAACCCCCAAAACCCTAAACCCCCCAGAACCCTAGTCTTATTATTAAGGCCCATGTATTGCGGACTCGCCCTTCAACTTCGGAGTCTCGGAGTCTCGCCTAAACCCTAAACCCTAAACCCTAAACCCTAAACCCTAAACCCTAAACCCTAAACCCTAAAGGCGCCTTCCAGTTGGAGCTCATTGAGAAGTCCAGGCTTCGGCGCCAGTTCGAGGGGCTCACGCCTGCGGAGGGTTTAGGGTTTAGGGTT